GTGTCAGGGTGTAGGTGGATAAGGCCTAAAACAAGTATAATAAGACAATGCTACATTCATGGGCTGAACAAACTTCTGCCATATTCATAACAACACGATTCTTACCACTTTCTCCTTCATTATACCCTCCCTCTCTCTTCCTTCCCCCCTCCCTTAATCCTTCTCTCTCTCTCCATCCCCTCCTTCTCTCTTTCTCTTCTTCCTCCCTCTCTCTTCTTTCTCCCTTCCCTTAATCCTCCGCTCTCTCTCCGTCCCCTCTTTCTCTCCTTCCCTTAATCCTCCCCCCTCTCTCTCTCTCTCTCTCTCTCTCTCCTTCCCCTCTTCCTCCTCTCTCTCTCCGTACCCTCCTTCTCTCCTTCCCTTCATCCTCCTTTCTCTCCTTCCTTTATGACCTCCCCACAGCCACTCACCCTTCATGACCTCCCTCACCCCCCATACCCTCCTCACCCCACCTTCATGACCTCCTCACCCCTCCCTACCCCACCCCTTCTGTGACCTCCCCTGACCCCTTCCTCCTCCCTCACCCCCACACCCCTTCATGAGCCTCCCTCACCCCACCTCCCCACACCCCACCCCTTCACCCACCTCCCTCCACCCCCACCCCTTCTGTGACCTCCCTCCCCCTCCCTCTTACCCTTCCTTCCCTCCTCTCTCCCCCACCTCCCTACCCCCATGCCCTGCCTCACCCCCCATCCTCTTACACCCTTCTGACCTCCCTCCCCCACAAACTCTCCCTCACCCCACCTTCACCACCTCCCTCACCCCACATACTCCCTCACCCCCACCCTCTTCATGACCTCCCTCACCCCCACATACCCTCCCTCACCCCTCACCCCCCCACACACCCCACCTTGACCTCCCCTCTTCCCCCACGTGCCCTCCCTCACCCCCCTCACCCCACCCCTTGACCTCCTCACCCCCCCTGCCTCACCCCACCTCCCTCACCCCCACCCCCTTGACTCCCTCACCCCCCAGCTCCCTCCCACCCCACCCCTTCAAGCCTCCCCTCACCCCCCAGCTCCCTCCCCACCCCTCTTCAGCCTCCCTCACCCCCACATGCCCTCCCCTCACCCCCTTCAGCCTCCCACACCCCCACATACCCTCCCTCACCCCCACCAGCCAGGACTGACCGCTGCACTTTCTCTGCTGGTCGTTCACTTCATTGTATTTTTTTGTTTTGTTTTTTACTTCTCTTCAAGTTTAGATTTCCGCTTTCTCTTTCTGTCTGTGCCCTCCCACTTTCTCTCTCTCACTCCTCTTTCTTTCCTTCTTTTCTCCTTTGTCTATTTTCTCTCGTTTTTCTTTCTTTTTCTTTATTCTCTTTCTCCCCATCTCTCTCACTCCACTCCTTTCCTTCCTTTCGTTCTTTCCTCCTTTGTTTCTATTTTCTCGTTTTTCTTTATTTTTCTTCCTTCCTTCTCTCGTTCTCCCATTTATTCATTTTCCGTGCGTTTCCTTCCTTCTCTCGTTCTCCCATTTATTCATTTTCCGTGCATTTATTAACTTGTTTATTATATTTAAAGGTACATGATATAAGAGTTTGGTTTATTAATGACTGTTTAACTTTATATATCCCAGGTGTATAGAAAAAGATTCGAGTTCGAGATGTTCTTTTGTTTTTTCGATGTTCCTTTGCTTATACAAGATATGTTCTCTTGTTTTTATCCGGCGTTCTTTTGTTTATATTCGAGATGTTCTTTTACTTATATTCGAGATGTTCTTTTGTTTTTTATTCGAGATGTTCATTTGTATATATACCGACTGTCGGCCCATACTTGTCTTTATATTGTTATAAGTATACATAATGAGTTCGGATAAAGGACACGTTCAGTATAGAAAGAGGCACTGTGGCTGGCACTGAACTGGACTGTCTCCACTACCTCAGCTGTATAGTTAGGAGCCGATTTATATCTTAGTATGAGTTAGGTGGCGCTTCAAACTCGATCCAATGATTCTTAAGGCAAGCAGAAGGGTATAAAATAATGTATTTACTCATCCACGGCACTCAAATTTTATGCTACCCAAAAATTTATGGATTAGAATGGGAAAAAATATAATTAATGTTTATATATATATCTGAAATGTGTTTGATTTTTATGTTTTAATTCATCTCTGTAGTTTGTATCAACATTCACAAGTCACACTCAACTCTTAACTTATTTCTAACTCAAAATTTCACTAATATGATTATAAAAGTGTATTATTTTGAATAAATTTGCATTATAGTTTTCAAATATTTATACCAAGTAACACCACAAGTTGTCTTATTATTCACATTATTTAATTTACAGCCACAACTTTCACCTGAGTGTCACTAAATAATAATAAAATCTTCTCATGTGTTTGTTTATTGACCAAAATTCCAGGATTCTGACACATTTGGGTCAAGTCTCACTTTCTCTTGATTTCCATCGTTTTTAAGACAGCCGCTCTCACTCCCCCTCCCCCACTTCTCTACTGTGGGGCGGGGCGGGGCGGGGCGGGGCAGGGCAGGGCAGGGCAGGGCAGGGCAGGGCAGGTAAGGCAGGGTACCAGGTGTATTATAAGACGTGGTATCCCTTCTTGACTGGTAACCTTACTCATTGTCGTTCTTGGTGACTTAATGAACCATTATTTTCTGTTGATATTTACGTCCGTTCGTCAGCCCAGGAGAAGTGTTTCCGAGGTCGATAGTCAGTTGTTTTATATTTTTACCGTTCAGTGATTGCTTCCTTGACTGTGTTATGACGTGATGCTGATGAGGTAGATTATCGATGTTAAAAATTTTGTTTATGTTTCTTTCAGCGTTAGTAAATCTTTATACGTATTCTGAGTTAATAAAGTTTTCATTTAAATTTACGTCTTTCATGGTAAATAAGCCGGTTTACAATATCTTTCAGATCAATAGATAGACTTTCTATAAACTCCCACCAAGACAAACGTGTAGTACCGCCCATCTACAAAACACGCTTCTCATGCTTCATTTTTTTTAGAGAGTTAAAAGGTGTCAATATGTGCCTGAATAGAAACCTGGTCTGATATGTTATTGTTCTTATTGGAGCTGAAAAGGCATAATCCTGGGAAGGGGCTAGGTAGGGGATGGGGCTAGGTAAGGGATGGGGCTAGGTAAAGGAAGGGGTCAGGTAGGGGAAGGGATTATGCACGGGAAGAGACTAGGCAGGGGAAGGAGCTAGGCAGGGGAAGAGACTAGGCAGGGAAAGGGGTTAGGCAAAGGAAGGGGCCAGGCAGGGGAAGAGACTAGACAGGGAAAGGGGTTAGGCAAAGGAAGGGGCCAGGCAGGGGAAGGGGCTAGGTAGGGGAAGGGATTAAGCAGGGGAAGGGGCTAGGCAGGGGAAGGGGTCAGGTAGGGAACGGGGCCAGGCAGGGAAAGGGGCGAGGTAGGGGAAGAAAGGATCATCAGACAAAACAAAAAGGAATTTGTTTTATTCACAACTCTTTTACAAGGACTGTATCATCCACTACACAGTTTATGTTCTTAAGACTAAATGCAGAGATGATTAAAAAGTACCACCGATCTTCTTTTGTTTTACATGTTACCGATCTTCTTTTGTTTTGCATGTCACCGATCTATTTTTGTTTTACATGTCATCGATCTTCATTTGTTTTACATGTCACCGATCTTCATTTGTTTCACATTTCACCGATTTTCTTTTGATTTTTACATTTCATAAATTTTCACTTACTTTACATTTCCTTATTTCTTCTTGTTCATCATCTATAAGTAAACACTGAAGAGAATATTCCTTAAAAATTAACAGAAAGAAGAAAAACACAGGAGAATTATCAACATCCATTACAACATCGAGGGATTCATTGATAAACATCCCAACATTCACACAACAACTACAATCAACGTGGTGGCTGAGGCGGCAGTGGTCAACATCTCAACACTGTACTCCATATCGTAACCTGCTGATGTGTAACTGATAAAGGGTTTGGCTTCCTGAGGGATTACACACACACACACACACACACACGCACACACACACACGCACACACACACACACACACACACACACACAATCAGAACTTAAGTGTGACGTGAAACAAGTATAAACTTATCCTAGGTAGAGCAACGTATACTTTATATAAGCTGACCAAATAAGGGATGGAAGCTAAGGTAGTGGTGGGTGGAGGGAGGGCAGTGGTGGGTGGAGGGAAGACAGTGGTGGGTGGAGGGAGGGCAGTGGTTGGTGGAGGAATGACAGTAGTGGGTGGAGGGAGGAGAGTAGTGGGTGGAGGAAGGGCAGTAGTGGGTGGAGGTGGTGGGTGGTGGGTGGAGGGAGTGGTGGGTGGAGGTGGGCAGTGGTGGGTGGAGGGCAGTGTTGGGTGGGGGAGGGCAGTGGTGGGTGGAGGGGGTGGTGGGGTGGAGGAGCAGTGGTGGGTGGGAGGGAGGACAGTGGTGGGTGGAGGAGGGTGAGGCTGGGGTGGTGGGTGGAGGGAGAGGCAGTGGTTGGTGGAGGAATGACAGTAGTGGGTGGAGGCAGTAGTGGGTGGAGGGTGAGAGTGGTAGGTGGGAGGAGGGAGTGGTGGGTGGAGAGGTGGGCAGTGGTGGGTGGAGGAGGAGCAGTGGTGGGTGAGGAGGCAAAGGCCAGGTAGGGTGGGGAGAGACAGTGGGTGAATTTGGGGAGGGGAGTGGTGCTGGGTGGAGGGAGGCAGTAGTGGGTGGAAGGAGGCAGTAAGGTGGAGGGAGGGCAGTAGTGGGTGGGGAGGGAGGGAAGTGGTGGGAGGAGGGAGGGCAGTAGTGGGTGGAGTGAGGTGGAAGTGGTGGGTGGAGGAAGAGGGCTGTAGTGGGGTGGGAGGAGACTGTCTAGTGGGTGGAGGATGCAATGGTGGGTGGAGAGGGAGGGCAATGAGTGGGTGGAGGGAGGCCCTTGGAGAGGGAGGAGAAGTGGTGGGTGGAGGGAGGGGCAGTGGTGGTGGAGGGCAGAAGTTGTGGGTGGAGGGAGGAGTAGTGGGTGGAGGAGTGGTGTGGAGAGAGCAGTGTGAGGTGGTGGAGGGTGAGGCGAGTAACCAGTGGTGATGAGGAGGGAAAAAGGAGTGTGGTAAGTACTTAAGTAAGGGAATGGGAGAGAGGGAGAAGGAAAGGAGGGGAGATAAGGATAACGGGAGAGAAGGGTGGAAGGAGAGAGAGGAGAGAAGGAAGATATATACCACACAATAAGGAGGAGCATAACGTGTCCTGCATGATGACCTATTTATAATATTTACAGCATAACATTAGTGGAGTACAGACACAATAACTTAATAAGAGTTGTCACTGGAGACCGAGTGTCCACCTGTCTCATGGCCCACCACCTGGCCGCCACCTCGTACGCCACCCACCTGCGTCCTACTGAAGATAAGAGAGGGAGAGACGTAGGTGGTGCAGGAGGGTATGGGGGTCGGACATACAGACACACAGCCGCCCACCAAAAAAGACTAGAGAAAGTGGGGCTATGGACGACACTCACGCCGATACACCAAGTCGATCTTCATAGGAATCACTGTCGACTGAGCCGCCACTAAAAAAATTATCAAACCCACTGGCACCATCTAACGGGCCAAATGAGTCAAACCCAGCGAATCCATCATCGGCTGACTGGCCTCCAATGCCACTTCCAACTCCAGAGAATCCAGTCTGACCAACTCCACTTCCCAGGCCTGGCAGACCAACTCCGATACTACCTCCTCCACTTCCATACCCCCCACCTACAGCACCACCGCCGGGTGAACTGATGCCAAGGGCCACTCCATCATCACCAGTACGACCAGCATTAATTTCTGCTGCTTGTGCGGTGACGGTGAATCCTTCCAGATTACCAGACGACAGTTGCTGTAGCTCTTGGGCAGATGGAGGCTGGTCATACTGCACAAAGAATACCTCAGGGTCGTGGGTCTCCGTAGGCGGCACTTGTATGACCTTCTGGTCGTGCACCAGAGGCCGTTGGTGCAGCACGTAGATGATGGTCTTCTGTTCTGTACGTGGCGGCAGGATGGGTTGTGGTGGTGGCCGAGGTGCGGGGGCGCGGATGAAAACAATCTTGTAGTGTTTGCGAGGTGGTCCGGCAGCGATAGGAGGCAGGGGTCGAGGAGGCTCAGGATGCGGGACGTTCACATAGATAGTCTTTGTAGGTCCAGCCCCACCACCATGTACTCTGGGGGCGCCATATCCGGATGCTGGTGGAGGAGGAGCACTATAACCTGTAGAAGGGCCCGATCCTCTGCCTCCGATCAATGGCACGAATCCGCCTTGCTCAAAGGACGTGTCCGGGAGTGGCGTGGAGGACACGTGGGCAGCGGCGACCACCAGGAGCATGGCACACTGCGGGGTAGATGGAGGTGAGACATACACGAACAACAGTGAGGAGTTATGATGGGTGTAAGAGAGAGAGAGGTGAGCATTGTATCCACTCGTCCTCGGCACACTCATCTTATCAACAAACAATACAGATGAAATAGGTTGTTCAGCTCATCAACTTCTGCGAGAAATATTAGTAGAATAAGCTGTGGGATAAACAACAAAGGAACAATAGTGGCGGCAGCACAGTACCATACATAACAGTCTAAACTAAAGAACTTCCTATACCTGTTCTCCTAATAACTCCTGACCAGGTGAGTAACTCGTTCAGTTAACCTTAAGACAATAACTACTCTAACGTCGTCGATAATTACATTGAGAAGTATAATTGAGACGAAAACCCATTATCTTGTCTTCAGTTACGACGAAAAGAAAAAGATAATCCCTCGTGTGACTCCTTGAAGACTCGTCAAGATCTACTCAGTCAGTCAGTCAGTCAGTCCCTTGCAAACCATCTGTTCATTGTTATAGTTCCTCAATAAAAGTAAAATTATAATGACTGACGCACTGAATCCACTAATTTTAAAAGTAACAGTGTGAGTTGTGAGGGGTGATGTGTGTGAGCTGTGAGGGGTGATGTGTGTGAGCTGTGAGGGGTGATGTGTGTGAGTTGTGAGGGGTGATGTGTGTGAGCTGTGAGGGGTGATGTGTGTGAGTTGTGAGGGGTGATGTGTGTGAGTTGTGAGGGGTGATGTGTGTGAGCTGTGAGGGGTGATGTGTGTGAGTTGTGAGGGGTGATGTGTGTGAGCTGTGAGGGGTGATGTGCCGTTGTTGTCATAACTCGTTGGGGTGTGTTGTTGTCAAGGAGTTGTCTCACTACTGCTACAGCGGCTGGATGGAATACCACGACCACCACTAACACCCTAGTACCACTAACAAGGGGCAGGGTCACCCGAGGGCATGGGGACCGTAAAGAACATCACAGGAGTTAGTACACCATCACTGATCACAAGGGCACTGCACAAGTCACCGACACACTCAGAAAACGCGCGAGCAATACTGTTAGAGGCACACTACTGTACGGTGGTGGGGGCGACTAACCATCAGCATGGTGGCGGTGCTATGGTGACGCGTCGCACTGTGGGGAGGTGTAGATCACAGAGTTACAGCAGCAGGGAGGAGTGCAGCCAGCCAACCAGTCGACTCAACCTGACCGCCGTTCACCACTGATTGAACCACGCGACGCCCGCGCCGCTTTTTATACCTACTCTCACTTGTGGCCAGTCCGACCCACCGGTGTGGCCAGTCCGACCCACCGGTGTGGCCAGTCCGACCCACCGGTATGGCCAGTCCGACCCACCGGTATGGCCAGTCCGACCCACCGGTGTGGCCAGTCCGACCCACCGGTATGGCCAGTCCGATCCACCGGTATGGCCAGTCCGACCCACCGGTATGGCCAGTCCGACCCACCGGTGTGGCCAGTCTAGCAACTTTGTGGCCAAACCGGCCTACTGCTTCGGCCAAATCGGTAAATCTGTGACCAATGTTGCCTGGACTGACTGACTCTGCCTTGTTTACGGTGAATGTAACCTTCTGTAGTCGGTGTGGCCACCAGAAGGTCAGTGTGGCACCAGAAGGTCATTGTGGCCACCAGAAGGTCAGGGTGGCCACCAGAGGAACAGTCAGACCGCTACTACATCACAATTTCAATAAAGCAAATATTTTTGTATCTCTTTAGTATCTGAACTACACACACACACACACACACACACACACACACACAGTGGACTAGCTTGGCATCTTGAGTGAGAAAGTGAGAGGTGAGGCGTATATAGATATAAAAAGCCCTAGAAATATCATCATTCCGGTTCTAACAGCCCCCAACCCGCCCCCCTCCCTCTCTCTCTCTATCTCTCTGCATCTCTCACTCTCTCTCTCTCTCTTTCTCTCTTTTCTCTCTCTCTTTCTTTATCATTCTGTATCTCAGTCTTTCTCACTCATTCTGTCTATCTATATGTCTGTCTGTCTCTCTCTGATTGTCTGTCTCTCTCTGATTGTGTGTGTATCTCTGCATCTCTGTCTCCCTCGCTCTCTCTCACTCTGTCTCTTTATCTCTCATAAAGGAATATTGACTCTAAACTTTATTTCACTATATTAAATTGTTATCTTACATAAGCGAGATGCAGTACAAGGATTATTAATTATTAAATAACAAGAGACTGTCTAGATGAACATTATAAAACAAGTGACTGTCCATAGGTAAATATTATAAAACAAATGACTGTCACTTGTTTTATAATATTTACTTGTAGACAGTCACTGGTTTTATAGGTAAATATTATAATCATATGACTATCTACATTATATAGGTAAACATCACAAAATATATGACTCTACAATATCATAAAACAAGTGACTGTCTACACCCTAAAACAAATGACTGTCTTTAAGTTATCGGAAAAGTACTTATAACACATTAAATACGAATTAATATTATGTACAGAGACCATATACAAAGTTCTTAGTTACTTTTTTAATTTCACTGTTATTCATAAATACTTTGAGCAACATGTATCTGTAGTCAATTTGAGTTGCAATATTGATAAAACTTAAAATTATTGCAACGTTGACAACCAGGACGTGGAAATAATAACACAAATATTTTAAACTTCATGAGATAATTTCATTTTGACTTATAATAAACTGGTTTTAAATATCACCCAAGTCTAATTTTATTCAGTTTCCTTTTATGCAACACAGATATAACACCATTCCTCCTCACTCACACACAGGCCAGGAGTATTGTGACACTCGCCTCATATCCAGTGTGAGGGCGAGAGGTCTTCCTATGTAATGTTAACAAAAGGAAAAGTTAAACAATACCAGGAAGTTTATTACGTATACACAATAATCAACTTTTTGGGGAGTATTATGTATTTTTCTTGTATTTTACGATTACGGGTGAAATGACTGATACAAGAATTGCATAGTTTTTCTCGATACAATTGATGTATTCAGTCTTCTTGTATTTTATGGTTCTTGTCAGTAATCCTGTTGGGTATTTTAGGTACGTTGGTAACATCTGATATAAGGAGTTAGAATCTATGAAATGATTAAATGTGTTATGTCAATTGTTTCTCTCTTTTCTTGCACTCTTCATATATCATTCTTCGTCTGGCAGCTGCAGGTATATAGTGACTGATAGTGACTGATAGTGTCCACCTTAATGGGTTTTCCAGGACCAGTGTGGCGATCCAGTCCTGCTGTAGTGTAAACTTTCTCTCGTCGCCTCCTGCTGCCTCCTCCTCCTCCCTTGTTGACATTTGATCACCTGGGAGCTCTTGGTTGTCTGTCACTAGCACTCTCGTCGCCTCTTCTTCCGTGTTCTGATGAATTAAGTCCAAGGGGAGGTGATGGTGTTGTTGTAGAGGCTCCTTGGTCGTAGATTAAGTCCAAGGGGAGGTGTTGGTGCTGTTGTAGAGGCTCCTTGGTCGTAGATAAAGTCCAAGGGGAGGTGATGGTGTTCTTGTAGAGGCTCCTTGGTCGTAGATTAAGTCCAAGGGGAGGTGATGGTGTTGTTGTAGAGGCTCCTTGGTCGTAGATTAAGTCCAAGGGGAGGTGATGGTGCTGTTGTAGAGGCTCCTTGGTCGTAGATTAAGTCCAAGGGGAGGTGATGGTGTTGTTGTAGAGGTCTTTGATCGTAGATTAAGTCCAAGGAGTGTGTTGGTGTTGTTAGTAGAGGCCCTTGGTCGTAGATTAAGTCCAAGGGGAGGTGATGGTGTTGTTGTAGAGGCTCCTTGGTCGTAGATTAAGTCCAAGGGGAGGTGATGGTGCTGTTGTAGAGGCTCCTTGGTCGTATATTAAGTCCAAGGGGAGGTGATGGTGTTGTTGTAGAGGCTCCTTGGTCGTAGATAAAGTCCAAGGGGAGGTGATGGTGTTGTTGTAGAGGCTCCTTGGTCGTAGATTAAGTCCAAGAAGCACACACACTAAGTCCTCTTTGATTTCCCAGAAGTTTGTGAATCAGGGAAAGAATATTGACTTATGTCCCGTTTTCTTTATCACGTCTTTGGTTCAACCCGTTTACTATCTTGTCTTCACCCTTCTTCATCACACCATATAGCCTTCACCCTACTCACCCTTCTTCATCACACCTTATAGCCTTCACCCTACTCACCCTTCTTCATCACACCATATAGCCTTCACCCTACTCACCCTTCTTCATCACACCTTATAGCCTTCACCCTACTCACCCTTCTTCATCACACCATATAGCCTTCACCCTACTCACCCTTCTTCATCACACCTTATAGCCTTCACCCTACTCACCCTTCTTCATCACACCATATAGCCTTCACCCTACTCAATTCTTCTCTTCATCATACCTTATAGCCTTCAATTCTACTCACAATCTCTTCTTCATCATAATTATAGCCTTCACCCTACTCAATTCTTCTTCATCATACCATATAGCCTTCACCCTACTCAATTCTTCTTCACTCACCATATAGCCTTCAATCTCTACCACCCTTTTCATCATTAATCTTTATAGCCTTCAATTCTACTCAATCTCTTCTTCATCACAACCATATAGCCTTCAATTCTACTCAATTCTCTTCATCGCCAACCATATAGCCTTCACCCACTCAATCTCTTCTTCATCACAATCTTATAGCCTTCAATCTCTACTCACCCTTCTTTCATCACACCATATAGCCTTCACCCTACTCACCCTTCTTCATCACACCTTATAGCCTTCACCCACTCAATTCTTCTTCATCACACCATATAGCCTTCACCCTACTCACCCTTCTTCATCACACCTTATAGCCTTCACCCTACTCACCCTTCTTCATCACACCATATAGCCTTCACCCTACTCACCCTTCTTCATCACACCTTATAGCCTTCACCCTACTCACCCTTCTTCATCACACCATATAGCCTTCACCCTACTCACCCTTCTTCATCACACCATATAGCCTTCACCCTACTCACCCTTCTTCATCACACCATATAGCCTTCAATCTCTACCTCAATCTCTTCACTCCAATAACCTTATAGCCTCCACCCCACCACCCTTCATCATACCTTATAGCCTTCAATCTCTACTCAATCTCTTCTCTTCATCATACCTTATAGCCTTCACCCCACTACAATTCTTCTTCTTCATCATGCACCTTATAGCCTTCAATTCTACTTCCACCCCTTCTTTCATCACACCATAGCCTTTCACCCTACACCCCTTCTTCATCACAATCTATATAGCCTTTCACCCTAATGCACCCTTTCTTCATCACACCATAGCCTTCAGCTTCCACTCACCTTCTTCTTCATCACCAATCATATAGCCTTCAATTTACCACCTTCTTCATCACAACTATATAGCCTTCAATTCTACTCAATCTTTCCTTCATCACAACTATATAGCCTTCAATTCCCCACTCAATCTCTTCATCATTAACTATATAGCCTTCAACTTCACTCAATTCTCTTCATCACTAACCATATAGCCTTCAATTTCTACTCACCTTCTTCATCACACCATATAGCCTTCACCCTACTCCACCCTTCTTCATCACAATTCATAGCCTTCAATTCTACTCACCCTTCTTCATCATACACCTTATAGCCTCAATTCTACTCAATTCTTCTTCTTCATCACACCATATAGCCTTCACCCTACTCACCCTTCTTCATCACACCTTATAGCCTTCACCCTACTCACCCTTCTTCATCACACCATATAGCCTTCACCCTACTCACCCTTCTTCATCACACCTTATAGCCTTCACCCTACTCACCCTTCTTCATCACACCATATAGCCTTCACCCTACTCACCCTTCTTCATCACACCATATAGCCTTCACCCTACTCACCCTTCTTCATCACACCATATAGCCTTCACCCTACTCACCCTTCTTCATCACACCATATAGCCTTCACCCTACTCACCCTTCTTCATCACACCATATAGCCTTCACCCTACTCACCCTTCTTGCCCCTCTCCATGGCCTTTCACCCTTGTCTCGGCTCTTCGTTGGGTGTTCATTATGGACGAGTTTTACCACATTTTCATAATACAAGTTCCAGGTTTTCATTCATGTAGGAAAAATATAAAAGACTTTTAAAAAATTTTCTTCACTACTATTTTTTTCTGGTTGACTATACATACAATCATTCAAACAGTTATGTAATATATATATCCCCGTACACATTACACATATACACAACTCTTACATATAAAT